TCTGAAATCGGGCAAATAGCTTTGGCTCGAAATTTAACAAATATTTTTGATCGTATAATATTAATGTATATTTTACAATTGATTAATTATTAATTCAATATTCGAAAATTCGTTATTGCTCACAGTTGGTACATAACAATTTGTGTAAACAGTTAATAATACGAACGACGATAATTAAATTTTGTGTTTGCTTTAATGTTATTAATGTAGCAAGACAACAGCAAATGTTTACTGTCTAACTACGAAATGGGTGATAAAACGAGAATATCCTGGAGGACAACTATTATTAGGTGTTGGAATTAATAATAGTAATAATAATATTGTATAATACATAATTAGATAAATACATAAAACAAACATATCATCAATAAATAGAATGCATTACCATAACATTTTCTATAATCTCTGGAGAATATCACTTATAGTAATACGGATGAGAAGGGCACAAAGGTCCAATTTGATTTTGAGTTTGATCTCATAATGACAAAGTTATTAATAAATGAATATTCAAAGAAATCTACTATAATAATTCGATAAATAATAAAACTAGTAAGTATAAAATACGATACCAGATATGTGTTTACGAATAATTAATTAATCTTAATACTGCATTTGTAAAAACCAAAATTAAAAAAAAATCTACAGCAGAAGATAAAAATACTGCAGTTGCTAAAAATGAATTATCACACTTTTTGCAAATTTAATTACTACAATTAATAACAATTTCTAATCAAAAATTTCTTCTAAATAGTATCATAATGATGACCTAAGAACAAATATAAACCAAATACTATATATAATATTTTAATTATATACAGTAGAACTCCAATTATCCGAATTAATGAGGCCCGGGACCGATTCGAATAATCAAATATTCGGATAATCAAATATTCGGAGTTTTTTTTTTTAAATTGCCATTGGACAGAAAAAAAGTTACGTTTTGATATTGCACTATTTTTTTATTGAATTAAATGAAAGAAACATGACATTTACACATGTTTTAAATATAAATAAAATGTACTTATGTACAAGTTTAGAAATAAAAATCATTGTTTTGTAAACATCTCCGTCAAATCAAAACAAACAATGTGCCTACACTGGCTTTGCTGGTGGAAGAATAATAGCGCACTTAGACTTTTTTTGGTCAATTTTTTTCTGAAAGTGATTCGGATAATCGGCGATTCGGATAGTCGGAGTTCGGATAATTGGAGTTCGGATAATTGGAGTTCGGATAATTGGAGTTCGGATAATTGGAGTTCTACTGTATTAAAAACAGAGATTTATTGAAAACTAGTAGATATCCTGGAGAACAAGTTACAAGTAAAAAAAAGATAAAAGCATTTTTTAACTATTAGTGTCATTCTGTTTCAGACTAAAATATTCGAGCGTTAGATAGCCAATTTTAAAAACTAAATGTCAAATATTAAAAAAAAATACAATAATTGTTGTGTTTTGCTCATGCATATTTAATATTTTTATGCATTCTAAAAATAACTGCTTCATGGCCTTCACCTGATATTTTGATAAATTTTTCGCATTTATTTCTGTCATTTTCCGACAAAGACATCCCTCTTAAGAATTTTAATTCTTAATTAACAAAAATAAATTATAACAAAAAAAGTAAAGTCTTTGTGTATCAGTTTCTTCAAAATTGTGGTCTGATGGCATATAAATACCTTCTCCAATATTTTAAATGTACTTTGAGTAATTATTTTTTATTTATTCCTCGAGTTTTGTTTCATGACTGAATTGACTTAAAAAAGGGTTTGATAAAAAAACAACTTTGTATTAGAAAAAAAAGTAAGGTAGGTAGAAATAAGACAGTACATTTTTGCTAATTGTTTTTAAATCACAGTTTGACTTCAAAACAGGCTGCATATGGTATGTAAAAATAGATCTGAAGTATTTTTCAAATTAAGATATAGTTATCTATAAAAAAAACAGAGAAGTGCTAACATCCACGATGTTTTAAACAATTACTTTATATTTAGTGTTTTCTAATAATTTCAAAATGTTTTGTTTAATTATTGAATTTTATGTTTATGCAAAACACCAGAAATAATCCTACAAATAATTATAATATTACCTTAAGTATATGTAATACAATTTAAATATTTCATTTAACTTCATCATCAAAGTGATAAAGTAATCATAATAAGGCAACAGAATAGTGATAAACAACAGATAATATATAAATAATTTCGAAACAAAACTATAAAATAAGATCAAATGATTATTTTATTTTTGAGATATTCCAAAAAATGTGTAAGAGGAGCTAAGGGATTTATGTAACAGGCATAAATGATACTATTGTCTTCTTTGTTGTTACCACTTGCCCCAGTCTATGTTACAACGTGCCTCGAACACGGGGTAAGTTGTAACACCAATCATTTTATACAAAATGACTAATTTTCAATTAATAAACAACAGTTGTTTGATTATTTTTATTTGATTCGGTAAAGGAATAGTTACAGCAACTATCCAACATTATAGAAACACAATCAGTGAATCTTAAGATATACCAATTTAAAAAAAAAAGTCTGTACTAATTAAATTTTGTAACAAAATTTATTTATAATATCTGTCCATTTTGTCTACAAACTTTGCAAAGTGTTGCAACTGAAAATATCGACTTTTACATAAGTCGTTTATTTGTACAGCACAAGTTTAACTAATAATAACACTTTGCTGGGACAATTTTGAAACGTTCAGAAACTATAAACTCTCCTAGCGGATTTTGCACATAGGCTATTATAGTTTAATAGATTTCATAAAACTGTCCGACAGCTTTAGAGAGAGGTTGTAAAAGCAACGCGGCGGTAGAAAATGATTCGAACTCGTGTAATGGAAAAATAAACAGTTATAATTAATTCATAATTTAAATTTTTATTTTTTATTAAGTATGTTATATAATATTTTTTCAATAGCAATCAGAACTAAATCTTTCCAGAAGCTATTATAAAGAAAACTCTCCTTAACAACGTCGCTTTTTAGATTTATTTACAAATTTTTATTAATTGTTTTTTAGTATTAGAAATTCTTTACTGTTGACGATATATTACTAATTTTGAAAATATATTTTGGATACAGATTCTTAAGTAAAAATGGATAATACTACTGCTCAATACTAAGCTGACCAAAATGGATATCAACTTTGAAACCCCTTTATCACTTTTTTTTAATTTCATTTATAAGATACAATAAACTACGTGTTCTGAACACGTGCAAAGTCGTAAAGGCAAAAAGAGAACTACACGATATTTTAGAATGATAAATAGCAAATTTGCAAATGTTTAGTCAAAGAAAAATCACAAATACCATAAAAAATTGAGATTTTGTTTTAAAATCAAAGAACAAAATATTTGAAACTTTATTGATTTACTTAAATGAAATCTCATAAATTGCCACTAATTATTATTTATTAATAAAAACAATATTCCACAAAAAATAATTTCATCAATTTACTAAGGTTTCTAGGTTGCACTTTGTAAAGAATTAATTTAATTTTATTATAATTTTGTCGGTGAATTTCCCGGAACTCAAATATTAGGTTTAAAAAAGTGAACATTCACCAATCCTATTTATTTACCAAATCACAGACGGGATTTCAATGTAAGACTATACAATTATATATTTTAATGCTATACTTTTTAGTTTAAAATATAAAATTTTTGTGCCAAATAAATAGCACAAAAAATATTTTCTTGTTCATACATTTATATACTTTATAATATAAATTAGGTATATGAATAAATTATATTCATATACCGAAAAACCTACTTTTGGCCCTTTAAAAGCAAATTGGTTCACATATCATGTTGATGTAGGACGCTGACTGAATGCAACAAAGGAAACTTGTTCAAAAAAACATACTTCATCTTTCTTCTCTTAGACTATCTCAAAATCAGTACAGTTTAGCTGTTATGACAACTGTCACTTCCGTAACCTGGCTCAATCGTACCCAGTTACCCCGAATCACTTGTTTTTGATTTGCATTTTTAAGAAAATATTTTAGAAATCAACAAAAACAAAAAGACTATTATATGTACTAAATATGTTACATAAAAGTTTTGTATGAGATGAGGGCGAAGCTTTAAAGTTCATTAGACATAAAGACAGAATATTAATAGGATGAATGCAAATTAAAATAAACATAATATTAATAGCATAAATGTTAATTGAATTAAAGTTTACATTAATTTACAATATTACTAAGACAAAAATATTATTGAAAGATTCATGGTATTATTTTCTTAATAGTAAAAACATTCAAATACAACAACCTTTAATTAAGAACTAGTTCTTGGAATTTTGAGAAAAAAGTTAATTTTTTTGTTGATCTAGGGGTCTTGGTGATGAACAAATGTTGCTTGTACTTCAGTACAAATATCTCCTATCTAAATTTTGAAAGTTTGTTATTGATGTACTAAAATTTCTTTCTTTTAGATGCATCGTATAATTTCTCTTGGACTTTAATGTATGCTAGTGCAGAGTCGGTTAATTCCGATTTGAAATTTTTAATACAATTCAAGCTATGTACTAGTAACTATTTCAATAATATTGACCACGTCATCCACAATCTCGTCTTTCTATTCCTGCTGCAACCAGCATGGTTGGCATAGAAAATCGTCCGAATTGCAATAAATATCGCTCGGCGTGTGCATTATGCCTTTATAAAGTCAAGCCAGCGCTTTGAAAGAGAATATAATAGACCCGCGTATCGTTAAAGTTGATTTGTTATCCTCTAAGCCAGCAGGAATTTTCCCAAAGAATGTTGCATTCGGCCCAGTCCGGCTAAATTTGTGCTGGTATTCGTACAAAGTGCATAGGATGCTAGGAATTAATCCTTAGGCTTTCAAGGTTTTTAATTCAAGGTTTCTCTCAAGTTATATTGATGATTTTGTTAAAAAAATTAAATATTATTTACATAAAATGTACGTTTTTTAACATGATGTAAATATTCGTTTATTACATAAAGGGTTTTGTATTACACAAATAATTTAAGCCATTGCCATTGCTGGTAAGACAGATGGTACTGTTCCAAGTGGTTTTACTTTAGGATCAATAACTGAAACATTATCAGAAATTGGTTTCTTGAAATCATATTTGCCTGCAGGGTCAAATTGCAACATAACTTTAATTTTAATTCCTAACAATCCTCGCCTAACTTAATAAAATTTCTAAATATTTGGTGGCGGTATGAATTTTTGTGTTGGTTTGAATTAAGATCTGCCGAGTGTATTTATATTCATAAATGGACTGATATAAACTATAGGTCTATCTTTACATCTTTTAGTATCAATAAAAAAAACTAGCTGTAAGTGGAATTCTGTCTTGAGGCAATTATGGCATCGTGCCTCAAGGCAAATTGCTGGAACTTCCCGTACCGTAACGAAATGTTCGAGGAATACTGAATGTTTTCAAATAGATTATTATAAATATTGTAACATTGTCTAATATTTATAAGAATTATATAAACTGAATTGCAAAGTTGAAATTATTTGTAAATTATATTAGAACTATAGTCAGAATTAAAATTAAATCTGAATTATTTTCGACATACAAAATATTAAAAAAAAAAAGTTGAAACAATTTTTTCAAAAACTGCCATTTCTTGTACATTTAGCTTTGTATCTTCGAAATGGCTGGGCCTGCCTATGCGAAAAATTAATAACCACTTCTCCCAATCATTACTAATTGAATGTTTTTTAGATCATTCAAATCGGATGCTCCGTTCTCTCAAAAATTCGATTTCTATATTCTGCACTCTTTGCTTGTTATCTCCGTAACTGCTGGACCTGCCTTTGCCAAAACCTAATCAGCACATCTCCTTATCGATAGGAATCGAATGTTTTTTAAACCATTCAAATCGGTTGATCCGTACGCCCGAAAACGTGGACGAAAAATTGTATTGTATGTATACATACATACATACACACACACACACACATCCATTTTTTCTGAGGTATGCCAAAATGTTCAGAAACCTTCTTAGCCTTAGGCACGATGCCACCCACCCCACTAGTTATTAATTATTTTAGTATAAATAAAGTTGATTGATAATCAAATTTACTTAAAAAAACTTTCACCTTTCGATTCCGATGGTTTTGAACTTTTTGTTCTTATAATATAAGACTAAACTAGAGGTGCATGGTGTGCCTTAAGGCAAATTGCTAGAACTTTTCGTTGCTTGCTTTTTTGCCCTGCCTTTGTCAAAAAACTAACCAGCAAACTAAATATTTGTATAGAAGAAAGAATATTTATAAAATTAAATCTATATAACATTCGCAATTCTTATACGATAACCCCTAATATCATGAATTTCTTTTCGCATACGTGTATCACCTAAACCTAAACCATACCTAAACATTACATTTTACGTGGTTATACGCCTTATAACTACTATATCGTACGTTCCTTTACCACCACACCGTATACGCTCAATCCTTACACTTATATCTAAACCGCCTAACATTTATTATCTTACGCCTACAATTTCGCTTACATACTATTTTCACCCTTACCGGGAATCGAACCCCGGTCCGCCGCGTGACAGGCTACGACCTTAACCACTCGACCACCGTAACGCTACAATCAACCGTCTTTTTTCGTGTGTTGTCGCGTCACCTTAGTATTAGTTACTCAATTAATTAGAAAATGAACCAAAGAAACAACAGTGTGTTCCATAATATATTTTCAGTGGGAGACCCGATAGAGTAGTGGTTAAGATGCGTGACTGTCACGCAGAGGAACCGGGTTCAATCCCCGGTATAGGCAATAGATAGGTAGAGATAATACATAGGGCGTAAGGTAGAAATATAACACATTAATATTAAATAGGTATATAGGGTGTTATATGTATATATATATATATATATATATAATAAGTTAGCAAATAATAATCTAGCTGTAATAGATTATTGGTATGGATAGAGAAATTGATGGCATAGGTATCTCACGGTATAATAGATAATAATTTATCTATGATATATAATAGTGTAGTATAATATAATAGTATGATAATAGTAAGATTATCATATCCCAAATTTAGTCTTATATTATAATAAGTTTTATATCATAATAAATAAGCATAGGTATTAATAAAATTAATATCAAAATCAATTTATGTTATTAGTGGATATAAATTATGTACTCAATGATTTCCTTATACTTATAATTGATTAGGTTTTCACAATATTATTGCCCAAAGTCAAATTGGACCTTTGTGCCCCGCCCTACCATACATTTAACTTCTCGTAGGGCAAGTTATAGTAATTGAAAAAAATCGAAAATGAAAGTTTTTATAAATCTTTACGTTTCAAAGGTTTCTGAACATTTTGGCATACTTTAGAAAAAATGGATGTATGTGTGTGTGTGTGTGCGGAAAGTCTGACACGCTTATTGTCCAAACGTCCAAAGTTGAAAATATGAAGATGCGATAGGAAAATGAAAATACACACCCTTATAGAAATAAATCCACTTTTTCTATGATGTGCCAGAATGATCAGAAAGTTCTACCACAAAAACATAACATTTTGTTTTCGAATGCTTAAACTTGATTTGTTAATATAAATGAGAGAAATGTTATTATCGAAGACTTAATTGCGCTGCGTTTGATGTAATTTCAATTCATCATTCTGAGAGCAAAGTTATTTTTTGTTATCTAATATTCTTCGTGGTGAACAAATGTGCACAGCAGTACATGAATAACTCTTATTTAAATTTCTGTTGATTATCACAAAATCTCTTTGTTTTGGTTTTATGTTTTTACAAGTAAATCTAATTTTCATATGATATGTCATAATAATTTGAAAGTCCAACAACATATCATACAATTTTCTTGTACAACTTTTTTATTCACTTCAAAAAATATTTAACATTTGACAAGATGTACTATTTTATATAAAATCTTACCACAAAACTATCAGCATCACAAGTTTTCTTTCTAAACATTTATCATAAAGCAATTATCAAGGGAAGCGCAAAGAAATTGTATTGAATTCGTATAAACAGTATTTCACGAACTCGGTTCCGTGGCTCCGTAGCTTCGTAATGTAACTGTCTGTATCCATATTGAATTAAAATTCATGAATGCACAAACGTAACTCCGACCATTGCTATATCGAATAAAACGAAATAAAGCAAGTATTTATGTTGTTTTCAGGTGAGCTCGAAACCCGAGGCACAGCAGAGCACCAGGCCTGAGGCCCATTGCCGGCTACCGTTCAGTTTTGCTCCAATACAATGTAGTTTGCGGTTGAGTTTCAGTTATACGAACGCTCGAGCATATTGTAAAACTTTGCTACTGTTTCGAATGAGTTATTCCGGATACGAGGGATGAGAGATACGAGTATTTGTTTAATTTTCATCGAATATCGATATAGGACTTTCATATGAGAAGTCAAATCAGAAGCACGATTGAAACTCAGAACGAGAATACGAGCACCCTGTTGTCAAGCAGTAATGACAATGGTTTTCAGCGGTATAGATAACAATATATTTTCAAACAAAATGGCATATTCGGCACCTTTCTGACATCGGTCGAATACCAAATGTCCGAATAGTTAACGTAAAAGGAATCGCCGCCGCTCAGCGATAGTGTTAGTGCTTTATCTTTTTTGCTATAAAGAGTGATGGATCAGCATTTAGAAGTCTATACATAATATGATATGAGGAAATGGATTCAAAATGAACTCAAAATGAATTCGTATTGTATATATAATAGTTTAAACTTAATCGACTTTTTAGTATATGAACGAATACTTTTTCTCAATATTCAAAAAATTCGTTGTTGTTATATGTTTATGTTATTTAATATGATTCATTTTACGGTTTCACGCATGTTGTATCTATATACAATAAAGTCATTCATTATATCAAACCTAAGCATTTCTCTAAATAATATGATGACATAATATTTTTTCAATAGTATCACCTAAAGATATATCGGTTTGAGCAATTATGGAAATTGAAGATAAATTTGTTCCAAGAAATTTGAAATCGAGTAAATTATGAAAAAGTAGCGAAAATACGGGTAATTTGAACCTGTATTGAGGTCTTCAAAAATTGTGCTGTATACAGGTATTTCAGTATACCGGTATACAGAAATTGTATTCCCTAGTATTAAGTCAAAATCAGCTCAACAGCTCATATATAGGACTCCCAAGTTCTGATTTCTGTTCAGAAATAATAATATAAAAACAAGAATAAGATTGGACTAAAAATTCGGCAGTAATTTTATAGGTAACACTTGGTGGGCAACAATATGTAGAAAAGAAACAATTTGACTGCTTTTTTATTTAAGTATAATATTCATTCTGATCATACATCATTAATTCCAAAGGGCAGAAATTTGTAATAGGAGAATTATATCAAAACTCTCCGTTCTGCACTAAGTGAAAAAACCCTACTTTTATTATTTTCAGGTAGTATCCTCACCAGATCCATACAAGATATTTTTCTTTTATCGTCAATTTGAAATGACTTACATAGTAATTTAATGTAACATTATTTCACTATGAAAATTACTACCATAAACAACAAAAGCATTCGATGTAAACCATATTTTCATAAAGAATTTGAGCATGTAAACAAATAAGTTTTAAATTATAACATTGATGAATGCATCTTCAGAGCAAGCACATCATAAAACAAATAATTAATGAAAACTTATAAATTTTATTTGGGCATCGAAAACTAAAATAGACCTTAAAACCCCACTCTACACTATTTACGTAAATCATTGAAAAACTTCCACAAAAAGACAAAGGTTAAAAATAAATAATGACAGCGGGAAGTGTGAGAAAGTGTAAATTGAGGGTTGCATACACGTATTTTTTTAAATTTTCTTTTCAATAAAACTCGCATTGTGAAGCAAATTAAGAAGATTGATCCAATACGTTAAAAAATAAGTGTTAGGATATGGACAACTCATAATGAAATTGTTTTTATGCAAAATCTAGTTAAAAAAAAATTAATTGAAATTTTGTCAAAAACGTTTACTAACACAAATCGAGATAAAAAATGATGCAATTGCAATATAATAAATCTTACGAAATAGATGATTGTGGTAAGAGGGTAAATATTTAGTTTTGTATGTTCATTTATATA